TTGAGAGAGGCATGCATGCGGGGTAAGAGTAGCGGGTTCTGCCGCTTCAGGCGGCGTTCCCCAGTTATAGAATACAACAACCTCCCTCGTCGACATTTGCACGGCTTGCGATCACCTTTTGGAGTTGTTTCTTACGGAGGTCCCGGACGTCATCTAATCCTTCTCTGTCATAGTACTTACCTGCTGTTGGAGGAAGCAAGCAGTAATCAATCGGTGATTCGGGACGCGTGATCTAATTGTTATTGTATAGTCATCATTCATTTGAATTCTTTTCTTTTTTTCCTCAGTTCTGGTTCTCGAGACTGACGTTAGTTCCTTTCGTATAATTCGCCTCCTAACTTACCTTGAGATTAGTCGCTCTTTAGCACCTGCCACCGTTGCCACACCTGTGGACTCTGGAGTACTCGGAGTTTCACAAGCACTTGCACATAGCTATTGAGTGGCGTCGATTTCCACCGCTGCATATCAATGGTCCCTGACTTCTGCATTCCCCAACGTGGCGTTGGCTTCCTTATGCGTTCCTAACACAACTACCTTTGACATGCTCTGGTCGACCTAGGACATGACCGACTGCCTAAATGCATGCGGCATGCAACATTCCATTCCACTGGCCAAATACATGCGATGTGGTCATAATTTCACAGCCTGCTAAGCTTGAGGGCTTGGCTATCGCAAATCATGCCAGCCGTCTCATGTGTTCCGCACCCTCACACCGTCTACCAGATCCACGGAGGGGCTTTCTCATTACGTAGTATTTCAGTCTTGTTCGTCACTCTGGGTTCACCCGCTAGCTGGGCGAAATCGTGAAAGATTTTGATTCGACTTATCCATACATTCCGTGCATACTGCCAGCGGTATACTCTCGTACCGGACATCCATTCACACGAGTTCTATGAAACGTTTCGACCCTATATATTCGCGCTTTCCGTGGTTCCTCGCATGTCCCATCCCCATAAAGCAGGATATCTGGTCGAATGCTTAGTGTATCTCCATGAGACTAGTTGTCCCCCCCAAACTTGAAACGTGACATTTTGAGGTCCTATCCTGCGAGACACACGCTGTGGAGGGAAATTCGGCTCCCATACCTAGTCGACAGCATGTTCATATCTCATGCCACTATTTTGTAATCGAATTTTCATTTCGATTTCAATGGAATCGCATGATCAGAAACGTCGCAACGTCCTAAACTGCTCGTGTACGTAAGTCCCTACACCATGCGCCGATGCGTGGTCATTTTTCTGGGAATGGAGGTCCCCTTTTCACTTAACGTCTGGTACTCCCAAGGAACGGGTGGAAAGTTTTGGACAGTGTGATCGCACACAGTGACGGAGACAGCCTGTTGCGCAGAAATTTGCCTAGATCGGGTTATGAAACGGTTCCCGCGGCGGTAGTCCATCACTAAGCTAGCACAGCTGCCAAATTTGTTTGTAATCACCAAAACCGGCTATATACAGTAATATCGCATCGAGTCTTTACAGATCTGGATGTCTACGTAATACTCCATATTGGCCGTGAATCCGTGAGCGGGTGATGATCCGCGGATATTGACGGCAGAAAAATCATAGAACGTCCAAAAAGCGCTCAACTTTGACCGAAGATTCTCAATCCCTGAGTAGCTATCATTCTGGAAAGTCACACCTGGTACGCAACAGAAGAGCTTTTTGTAGAATATTCAAAGAGCGTGGGACAGGATGAATTTGAGGGTTCGCGCGTTTGTCTTCAAGGTTTACTGTCATAAGCGGGAATGAATGTTTGAAACTGAACAAATGAGCTGTCAAGGCTAGCTAACTGAAGCAAGGGATCAGAGAAAGTTCTCAGTTGAGATTCTCTCTCGGTGGTTCCACGGTTCTTGACTACATTCCGGAAGTCCAGATCAATGTATCTGCCAGTGAACATGAACCAACCCCGCACGGGAAATCATCGGCCACGCGGGCCCAGCATCTACAAAAAGATTATCTTTGTTGTGACTGAAAAAGTCAGCTATGGGCCCGCACGACAGGTGACAAACAAACGCGTTGCGGACGATTTAGGGGAGCCACGTGCTCAGCGTGTTCAGCGAGGGGAAAATCAAGGCGAGGCAGGAACCTTTAGTTGGCAACGTCCCAGGGAATTTTCTTTCACTCCAATAAATAGGTACCAACGGCTTTCTCGCCTTTCTTTGAGGGCCATGGCATACAACCGATTGAGGGGAAATCAAATGTATTGATTCCGTTTCTGATGCTTCTGCAAAAGTTCTACCACAATTTTTTGCGATATCTTGTCAGTAAAATTGAGATGTGAGCTGAAGCGACCATCCATACCTCATTGGGATATAAGGGAGCCCAAGTCCTCACCTCCCTCTGCCATTCCCCACAACAGATACCTCCCTCCTTTCCAGACGCGACTAGAACATTGTCCCATCTCATATCTTGTGGATCTAGCGCCGAGGTCCCGATGCATTCCCCATCGTTTGGGCCACTGCAGTGCGCAGAGCGTTTGTGACAACGTTCACACTAGGAGCTACTAGTGTGATGTGGGTGTTGTGCACGATGCGCTCTGCTCATGAGGTGGGCGTTAACGATCTGTGCCAAACGAAAGCTCAGGCGATGAATACTTGTGTAGCGCTATACTGCTGTTTAATCTCCTTCACGACGACTCCTGCTGTGGTGAGCGAGCCGTCTGGCTCTCACAGCCGTCGCACCAAGAGCCGAGTTGGGGCGGTGGGGTGCGGTGTGGGTGTTGTGCACAGACAGCTCGTTCATTACGTGGGTCCATACACATGTCATTCGTTTGTTGAGATTACTAGCTAGCTCACTGGTTCTGAGACCACCACAGAGTTAAAGCCCAGGTCCGAACGCCACTTTCACAAGGGTTGTAGTACAACCTGAAATCAGCACTTTCACGGCGGAGCGTACTTGATCTCAGATCCGTAACGTACTGCTACTGTGTGTTCGGCAAACATTGCTACGGAATCGTACGGAGTGGAAGGTTGCGGAATATCACCGGGGTTAGCCGAAATAAATGTTACCACGCTGTGTCAGCTCGCAAGGTGTCCAGCCTCTCTTAAGAAGTGCCATGCCTGAGACCTCCCCTTGAGAGACTTGACGCCGCTGACAGTGGCAGTGGCAGTTGGCTGGTCCCTGCCTCTTATTCTACTGCTCTCTTTGTACGGCGGGAAGCGCGTGAGCTAGGAGGGGACGTTGAGTCTTTTATCTTCCTTGCAAGACAAATGATTACGAATCTTATTCGTCTGCCATAGCGCGACCTGGGTTGATATTACGCGTTGCATCGGATGCATTGGAAGAATGAATTAATTGGCGCTTACAAGCATCAGTCTGCGGCTACATGCGAGATATACCACCATCACCGGAGACATGGTTCCAATTTCACCCCAAAGCTAAAACCTTCCCCAAGTCCCATGTCCCCAAGGCGGCCCAACCATAGGCGCACACGAAGTCCGTCTTCTCTTTCTCTTGAACTTAGAGGAATCATATTTGGGGGTCGAGTTTGCCCGTGAGCATGGGAATCGAAGGGCCCTTTGGCTAAACGAAGCCCCGTTTCTATTCAATAAATTCCTCATGCTTTTCACAACCGTCAGTTTGCAGCACTTGGTAGTATGTACAGATGTGCACATCGGAGATCGGTATCTGGAATGTTCATTCCCGTAAGACTCATCCGAACCAATTAGCTGGTCAACGCCTTGGTGTTATTGGATTACACCCGTTGGGTGACGAGATACTGGACATCTCCTCATATGGCTTGCCACACGCTGTTAATAATAGAGGCCGCCTATCTTTCATCAGTCCCTTCGGACCCAGTTTGATGGGGGGTTGGCATAACTTCTTCGTTGTCGTTGTCTGGTTATAGATGGGTTTTCGTGCACTTTAGTCACTTACCACTTCCCTGAGGCACCCCTTTAGTAAGCGGCAAGAAAGTAATACAGAAGTCGAAGCTTGAGATAACGATTGGAGAGGTAATGCGGAGATTGGGTTAGTAGCCTCCAGTGATAAGTCGGGTGGAAGTTGCAGTTGGCTGCCTCCGAAAAAAAGAAACAAGCGATCGGACAGAGAGCTGGGAGCGGTATCAGCGGGCGAGATAAAGCCTACCGGGAATGAAAATTATCAAGTATGTGATCAATCACAGAATCGAAGTGTGATTAGCCCTAGTATACGTCCCATCCCAGTCGACACAACGAAGGATGGTCCTGAGATATGCTAAGAACTGGAGGGAACCCAAATGGAATTTGTGAGAGCCCGCACCTCTGGGGGGCATAGGTCAAGGCAGCGAAGTGGCGCTTCTGTCGTGAAGCTATACGCACTGCAGAAGGCTTCTCCCACGGTGTCTGTCAGTGGAACAAAGGAACGTATCTTCCAAGAGAGAGTGAAGCCCTTACGGAGCCAACATGATGGTCTGTAGAAAAATTCACAGAGAGCTTCGGATGCACCAGTGGCGAAATCGTGTTGGGACCGAAACGCACGGACTACTTCTGGTTGCTTTTCTCCGATATTCCGGCGGTGAATAGTCGTCTAGTGTCGCCTATGACTGAGTAGGACAGTCGCTACAGGATACGTGACCCGTTCGGCAGGGGTACAGCCTAGAATAATCTTCCCATGCGGAAGGGTATACAGAGCGGTTTAGTGGACACCCCCCGTCAGAATAGCACTACACAAGGAAAATAGTTTGGCAAACTTGAGCAGAGTCCAAGTCTCTCTCGAAAGAGCCGGCGACTCGGGGCAGATGATTAGCGTCCAAGTTGGGGGATACGAGGCAGCCGATGTTCTTGGAAAATGGTACAACGTAAGGATGAGGTTTAGGGCCACCTAGAAAAATGGTTGATCACGTTTCCGGTGACAGTATTAGTAAAAGAAAGCTGGAACGGTATCGGAACGTTGGATAAGGCTTCCCGTTCTAGTCTACTGAGTGGAAAAGTGGGCAGGGATTTTCTGAGCTAAGAAGGGATAGTATCGAACTATGGCCAAGCCTAGTGAAGGCCTGCAGGCGCCCTTTTCTGATGTAGGTTCATGAGCAGCAACCGGAATGAACTATATGAAGACGCAGATGGGACTTGTGATAACCCGTTAGGAGAGGGTCGGGAAGCCCTTGCAATGGACTACGTATTCGATAATGATGGACTCACACAGAGCTTCGGATGCACTGGTGGCGAAATCGTGTGGGGACCGAAACGCACCGACTACTTCTGGTTGCTTTTCTCCGAGACGATATTCCAGCGGCGTAGTCATCTCATGGTTAATATAGGGCAGTCGCTGCAGGATACGTGGCCCGCTCGGCGGGAGCTACGACCCAGAATAATCTCCCCACGCGGGAGGGTGGTTTAGTGGACACCCCCTGTCAAAATAGCACGACACAAGGAAAAGGTTTGGTAAGTCTGGACAGAGTCTAGCAGGTTACCAGCCTCTATTGGGATAGGGGAAGAGTCCAAATCTCTCTCGAAATATCCAGCGACTCAGGGCAGATGATTGGCGTCCAAGTTATGGAATAACGAGGCGGCCAGTGTTTGTAGAATCCTTGCAAAATGGCACACACAATAATGAGGTTTAGGTTCGCCTGGACAACAGGTTAGGTGGCGTTGCCGGTGACAATAACAGAGGGAAAAGTAAAAGAAACAGAGAAAACCAGACAGAGAGCTGGAAGTGGAATGGTATGGTATCGGAACGGGATTAGGTTTCCCGTCCCAGTCTACCAGTGGGAAAGTGGGCAGGGGATTTCCGAGCTAAGGGGTGGTACAGCTGGGTATCGAAGTATGATCAACCCTGGTAAGGGCCTGCACGCGCCCATTTCCGGGTGTTTGGAATGTAGGTTTGCGAGAAACAACCGGAATGAACCATGTGAGGGATAACCCGTTTCCCTGGAGAGCAGAAGTCAAGGCAGCGAGGCGGCGCTTCCGACGAGAGGCTACACGCTCTGTAGATCTTGGCTAAAGATGAAAGAAAACCCAGGAAAGGATACAACACTGCCCACGACGTGATCCGCAACAACGTTCTATAACCGCTACCCCCGTGGCGACAGGCAAGTATTGAATGGGATCGCGATGTTGGTTGATGGAACAAACGGACGCATTTTCCAGATGCGTCCGAGCTCTATGGGAGTGTTGATGCGGACAATCGCATTGAGTACATAATATGGATCTGAAGGACTTTCCCGGCGCTCTCCTGTGAAAAGATTGCCTAGGGACAGGGACGTATGGATTGCTTCTGGTTGTTTTTCTCCGTGATGATTTTCCGGCTGCAAATGAGCATGTCGTAGTCAATATTGCGGCACCCCATGACCGAACAGGTTTAGCGCACACGTCCTATCGAAGTGGTACGATACAGGAAAAGATACTCAGCAATTCTAAATCATGGCCAGCCAATGATTTGCGCTCAAGCTGGTGGACACAAGGTAGCCAATATCTGTACAATCCTCAGAAAGTGGCGCAACGATGACTGGAGTGGCTGGGGTGATTTTAGGTTCAGAAAAAGCGAGACAAAATGTTTGATTGTGTTGCGCGCGGGTGACAATATGCCTTTTTTGGTGGCGAAGATTATTTCTCGCCAACAAAAAAAGCAGATCTGTATCGAATACAGTCCAATAAAGATGGCTGGAAACTCCTAAAAGAGCAGTGTCTTGACACACCATTAAGGGTCGTCCGCTAATATCATGAGCTAATTTGACTTAACAATTTTTCCCCTAATATAACTTGAATAGGATTTTGTTGTTCACGAGGGCAGGGTCAATCCGAATTGCATGAAGACAAAGAATGGATGGAAACCATACATTGGGTTCATCGCGTGAAGGATAGTCCAGACAAAGACCCAGCTTGCGGGTCGTTCTTTGTTGAGCAATCATTATGTTGGGCTTCGCCACCAGCGATATCAGTCCAAGCAAGAGACTTAACACAAATTGCCGGTACTAGTTCGTGCCTACCGTGGTTGCTCTAACGATCAGACTGTTCCCGGATGTAAAGCTGTAGAAAGCGTTCGCGACTGTCAGTAATGTTTACAAGCCGTGCGCAGCGGAAGTCCTTTCACCTTGTTTCACGCCCGGACGCACTGCCTCAGGATAGGGGCCTAGCCCATATTCTCGCTTCCCCCGTGTTGTGGGGGCCCCACTTTGCTGGCACTCACTCACTCATCTCCCCCGTCTACCCCGCCACGCAAGCCGGAAGTGTCCCCTCCTATCCCTTCTCTGTGCAAGGCACGCATTTCCGCTTGACGTGGGCTCTACCATGCTTTCTGGAGCGGAAACACTGTATGGCCAAGGTGCTAAAGCAGACCACCAACATGCCTCAAGGTGAGAATACGCAATAATTCATTAGTGACACCATGTTGAGCCACCACAACATTACAGATAGATCCTCGCCCAGCTGGTACCACAAGGAGAGGGTCCGCTCAAGGAATATCTCTTCATTATACAACCCATATACGTGCCTCCCTGAAAACCTACATCGACGAGAACAATCGACAAGAGAGAAGTTGTGGACCTCTACCAGCCAACGCGAACTTGGGGCTACCCAGTTGCTCGCCCATACCAGAGGCAATCATCTGTCCTGCATGTGCTTTTCCAATGCTAATACGTGGGCATGGCGGATGAATGTGTAAGGGACTTTTGTGCTACATGGACACACACTCCGATCTGCTGGGCGCGGAACAAACTGTTGACTGACATATCGTCAATGACCACAGAGATTTCAAACCCTAAATAGTGGCATAGGAGAGCACCAGGCACGATCCAGCCACTGTCAAGAGTCCGCTCATCTGCGGTGCCACCGGTTCGACCGATGATCCATTGGAAAGGTAATTTGTACGACTCTCACTCGGTATGGAGGTATGCAATCTACACCCCATAATGAAACATGGATGTTAATTCAACTTAACAGTACGATATCACTAGATCGATGCCGGAGTTAGGGGATAACACAGACTCGCCAATTTGAGCTACATCACTAAAGAACTGCACTCTCAGCCGCGATAATCCTACCATAACATCCCAGAAACCTACTCACTCGTCGGCGACAGTGCTCTTGAATGTTTGTGACACCGGGATCCGTAGGGGTAGCCGCACTGCCACGTATATCACGAGGCCGCGGGTGCCATTGTACAGCTCGCGACCACCTTTTGGTGCTGGCTCCTGATTTTTGGACAGCTAGTCGTCTAGTCCATCCTCTGTCATACGGTTTCTTGCCTCTTGTCGCTGCCATAGTACATGTGGAGTACCAGTACTCACTGGAGTTTCGCGAGTATAAACATTCTATTGAATAACATCTATGTCCTTCTCTGGCCCACAGCACTCAAGCATTGTCTTATTTGTATGCAGTGTTTGATTTATAATTTTTCACCCTGCACATCGAGGTTCTATTGCATCCCCGACGCAACATTGGTTGCTTTGTACATTCCCAGCTAAGCCAGCTGCAAGGTACTGCAGTAGACCTAGAACACGACTTACTGCTTGAGTGCGTGCGTTCCGTACCACTGGCCAGGCTCGAGGCTCTTTGAGCGTTTGACTTCTGCGTGCTGGCCATCTTACTTCATTTGCCAGATCTACAGAGGAAATTCTCATCACATACTCTTTCAGTCCTGCTCGCTACTCTTGGATAGCATCAGAATTCTTCACCAGCCGCGGTAGGGAACCTCAGTGCAACCAAATGTGGAGGCGTGACCTCGGAGGTTCTTCGACACTGATTTTGACGCAAATCATAGCTTGCGGCTCTGATTTCTTGTAGGCTCCAGGGTGTCGTTCAGTGAAACCTCGCTCCACCACTCAAATACTTACCCGTTATCGACGCCCATCCCTGCAGCGTGGCGTGCCACTTTCTCATCTTGATGGATTACTTGGCTTTTCCAAAATATTCACGTATCGGTCTCCATTTTACATCATTCAGGCATTGTCGTACTTGAAAATAGCGTCCCGTTTGCACCCGTCACCCTCTCATCATGATATCTGGATCCTCCCATCCAGCCATGGTTCCGTTATGTATGTGATCGCGATTCAACTGCCTGCGACGTGCTCTGCTCGACACTAAACACATGCGTCCCATGTCGCTGACCAATTGCACCCAACTGGCTCGAGGCTCTTGGGGGATTGACTCCTTCAAATTCATCGTGGTCCGTTGGCCATCTTACAAACCCCACCCCGTCCACCAGATTCGTAGAAGACCTTCTCATTGCATGGCATCTAACTTCCGTGCCGCAGGATTCCATGGTTGGGTTGGCCAAATGTCTGTAGCACCAGAAACCCTACCAACGGGGATCGGCCGGAATCCGTAAAATTGGGTGTGAGAGCGCGATCTCCCTCGTCAACGGTCCGGCACAAAATACGGATTGCGACCACCTTTTGGGGTTGTTTCTTGAATGGAGGTCGCGGACATCGTCTAATCCTGCTCTGTCATAGGAACAATACTTACCTGCCACCGCTGCCATACCTGTGGAGTACTGGGCGGAGTTTCGCGGGCACGTACGCAAGTCTATTGAGTGGCATCGATTTCCACCGCTGCATATTAATAATCCTTGACTGCTGCATTTCCCAACGGAGCGTTGGCTTCCTTGCATGTTCCCAATTCAACTACCTACGATGTGCTGTGGTCGACCTATAACACGATTGCCAATGACTGCCTGAATGCATACATTCCCTCCCACATGCGATGTGATCCTTTACAGCCTGCTAAGCCCAAGTTTTTTTTGAGGGCTTGACTCTTGCAAATCATGCCAGTGTTCCGCACCCTCGCTCCATCTATCAGATCCACGGAGGACATTCTCATCACGTAGTATCTCAGTCCTGTTCGCCACTCTGGATTTACCCGCTGACTAGATGAAATCGGGGAGAGTTTTGGTCCACATCCATACATTAATATACTCTCGTACACTGAGAATGGGGCCGGATATTCATTCACACGAGTTCTATGGAGCATTAGACCCCACCTACTTGCCTTTTCCATAGTTCCTCGTATGCCCCTCCCATGAAGCAGGATAGCTTGTCGAACACCCAGTGTATCGCCATGAGAGACTAGTTTCTCTTATCACCTCAGAACTTGGGACGTGGCCTCTTGAGCTCCTATCCTATCAGACACACGCTGTGAGGGGAAATTCGGCTCCGATACCTAGTCTCCAGCGTGATCTCGTTCCAGCCATATCTCATGTCACTATTTCGTAATCGAACTTTCATTTAGAATCGCATAATCGCAAACGCCGCAACGTCCTAAACTACTCCTGTACATAAATCCCTACAACATGCGCGTCGTCATTTTCCTGGAATGGAGGTGCCTTTTCCGTCATTCCACCTAATGTCTAGTACTCCCAGGGAACGGGTGGAAAGTTTTGGGATAGTATAATGACGGAGACAGCCTGTTGCACAGGAATCTGTGACGGAGGGACCGTTCAATACCCAACCTAGATACAACTGCCGAAGTTGTTTGCGATCACCAAAATCAGCTATATAATACCACATCGAGTCTTTACAGATCTGGATGTCTACGTAATACTCCATATTAGCCGTGACTCAAGGAACACCGTGAGCAGGTAATGATCCGCGGATATTGACGGCAGAAAAATCATGGAACGCCCAAAAAGCGCTCAACTTTGACCGAAGTTTCTCAACCCCTGAGTAGTTATCATCGTGGAAAGTCACTCCTGGCACGCAACAGAAGAGCTCTCTACGGGGCGTGAGGCAGGATGATTTTGGGGGTTTTTCTTCAAGGTTTGCTGTCATGAATGTTTGAAACTGAAAATATGAGCCGTCAAGGCTAGCTGATTGAAGCAAGGGATCGGAAACTTACCGGGCGGATCGCCAACATGGGAGACCCGTTGGAAAGCACGATCCCTCTCAGTCGAGATTCTATCTCGGTGGTTCCACACTACATCCCAGGAGTCTAGATCAATTCATTTGTCGGTGAACGTGAACCAAACCCCCGGACCCAAGGGATCGAAAAAATCTTCGTTGTGGCTGAAAAAGTCATCCATGGGCCCACACGGCAGGCGACAACCAACGGATTGTGGATAATTTAGGGCGCCCACGTGTTCAGCATTTTCAGCGAGGGATAAATCAATGAGAGGCGAGGCAGGGACCCTTAGTCTGCAACGTCTCACTACAACGGACTTTATTTTACTCCAATTAAACCTGGAAAATAAAATAGGGATCAATGGCTTTCTCGCCTTTTTTGAAGGCTGTGGCATACAAGTAATTGAGGGGAATCGATGCATGCATGCATTAATTCCATTTCTGATGCTTCTGCAAAAATTCTACCATGATTTTTTTTGGTATATCTTGTCAGTAAAGTTGAGATGCAAGCTGACGCCATCATCCATACCTCATTGAGCTATAAGAGAGCCCCCAGGTCCTCGCCTCCCTCTGCCGTTTCCCACAACAGATGCTTCCCTCCTACCCAGACGCGACTACAGCATTGTCCCCCTCATGTCTTGTGAATCTAGCGGGACCCGATTCACTCCCCACCGTGCGGGCCCACCGTAGTGTGCGGGGCACATGTGACAACATTCACGCTAGGAGCTGCTAGCGTGATGTGGGTGTTGTGCACGAAGTGCTCTGCTCACAGGGTGAGTGCTAACGATTCGCCAATTGAGGTCCTTTCTTGGGTAGACAGCAAATACTTGCGCAGCGCCAGCATTGTTCAATGTCCTTCCCGACGACTCCTGCTGTGGTGAGCGAGACGTCTGGTCACAACCATCGCACCAGGAGCTGCACCGGAAAGTTGGTGCGGCGTGGTGCGGTGTGGGTGTTGTGCACAGTCGGCTTGCGCACTGCCTGGGGGAGCTGATCGTGACACTCCAGCACGAAAGATGTTAATTTCAGATTCCCAGTCGATATGACAATCAACCTGACGGCGGTTCTGTGGTGTTCTCAGAATTTGACTAAGCACCTTGACCTTGACAAGTGAATCTCCGCGGAGGATTGCCAGTTGTCTATGGGGCTAAGCCACACTGAAGTCCAAGGGAATCAGCTGTTAAATAGTACTGCTGAGCTTACCACCGAACCTCAGTACTCAGCAAACATTAGATGTTCCGCAACTCCGTACCCTTCCGCGTCCCTTCCGGGACTTATATTCGGGTTGTTATGTACCGGAGTTGGCCGGGGGGTCCTTAGTGTATTGCAATTGAATGTCGAGGCCTTTGTTCGTCTTTTTAATTATCGAGCTTGCACATAACATTCCGTTTGCACCTTTCACCCTGCCCATCGAATGTCCCATCACGTTATCTGGATTCTCCCATGGGGCCATGGTTCTGTTATGTGTTGCGATTCAACTGCCTGCGACGTGCTCTGCTCCACATATATAATACCACTAACTCGCTCTCTACGCCGCCCTTTTGAATATAGGTTCATTTGCTGGTTGGATGAAGTCGGGGAGGAGACTTCGACTCGTCCCATGCCTATGTTTGCGAATAGTATGTTATAGCGCGCTGGAAATACGGACCGATCCCAATCGAAAGAAGGAATCAATTCATGTACGAATGGTAGCGAATTCTTTGAAGCCTCTCTTTCCGTCTCATCCCCATGTACAGTGCATTTCGGCGCACACTGCCCCTCCCATACTTAGCCTCGAAGCAGTATACATACCTTTTCGAACACACTGTAAAAATTTCCCTTAAGATGGAACCTCTTGAGGTCCTATCGGGCACACGTTATGATGAGAATTTCGGTCCTCATATCCTGCCACTAGCATGACTTCATTCCAGCTTCTCATGTCACTATTCTATAATCAAATTTTCTTTTTCATTTCAATGGAATCGCGTTGTCTCGAAGGCTTCGAAGTCCTGAACTCAACGTGCATATGCCCTGCATGATCCATTAATGTACGCGTCGTCGTTTTCCAGGAATCGAGATGCCCTTTTCATCAGTGTACCTCGCGCCTGGTCACCCACAGGGAATAGATCTAAAATTTTTGGGCAGCATAATGACGGCAATGATATGCGGAAAAGAATTCCTAAGGCTCGACAAATAACCATCTATACGTTAACGCCGCCACGAAGCCGAACCGACGTATGTATGCGTGTGGAATGGTTGAACGACAAGTCCATCTTCCCTCACGGCTTGCAAAACTCGGAAGTCTGCCGTAGAGTTGAGCATAGGACAAAAGAGGGGATTTCCCCTTGGCGGACTACTTCGAAGGCTGTCTATGATCACCAAAACCAGGTGTATAATGCCGCATCGAATCTCTAAATATCTACTTATACTCCATGAGCTATAAACGAAGAAACACCACAAAAAGGCTAATATTGAATGCGGTCAAAATTAACTTCGGATTGCCCAAAAGCCCTCATCTTTTACCATTCAAACCCTGACTTAGAGGCGTTGTGAGAAAGTCGTTCCTTGTAACTAACAGAAAGACCCTTTGGGGAATATTCAAGAACGACAGTCGCTACAACTTGGATATAGTTCTGCTTCGCTGAAGACCGGCATGATCCTGCTTCGATCGATGAGCACACTGTCGACAAGAAAGAAGCTGTCTCTGCCGCAGCCTCGATACGTCCTTTGAAAGCGGTTGATGAAATGCTCCCCCTACTCCCAGTTGACTTCTTCTGGCATAACTAATTGCGAACTTGGGGAGACCCGGTTGCTCTCCGCGGCAGAGGCGATCATTCGGCCCATATCTACTTCTCCAACGCTAAAAGCATGCACGTGACGAATAATACGAATGCGATCAGTCGCATCTTCCAAGGGAAGCCCGGAAAGCCCAAGAACACACCCGGACCTTTAGGAAGATAGTGTGCAGGCTCCTGGACGGCCAAGAGGTGGTTCCCCGGCCACAGTGGCAACAAGCGTGCAGACGGGCTCACACCAGCCCGGACAGAGACTCCACTACCATTCACTATCCTATGGCAAGCAGGACATGGAAGAAGAATGGATGGAACGTTGGGCAAGCACGCCCAGCCCGATCCGACCAGGATATCACGCAGCAAACCAGAACCCCCCATCAATTAAACCCGCCGCCAGGTCCAGATCGCTAGACTGGACAACCTTCAGCAGGCTGGTCCAGTCCCGCACGGGGCTGCCCTGGGTCGGTTCCGAGAGCAGAACCGAAGGTGCTAAATCGCAAACGCGATAACAGGTTGGCTCATACTTTGGTACAGTTTGAGGGATTGAAGGATGGTTGCATTCAGGCTCGGTATTGAACCGAGCCTTGGTAGGGTTGACGCTCCATGACCAATTCGGTTCTCTCGGAACCGAACCACGGCAGCCCTAGTCCCGCACCGGCCAGCACACCAGGCGAATACTACCACCGGTTCGATATCCACACAGAAAGCAGAGAGCACGCATACGGAGCAGCCAACCAGATGAAATAGCATATCCTCTAGGTATGCCCACAGTTTAAGAAACATAGACACGTACTGGGCCTCTGTCGTCAGAGCAGGTTTTCGACCCTCGTGGGGAAGCCCAAAGGCATCCTTAGACTAGCAGACTTCATCAAGAAGTGGTGGGCCATCGATACAATGGGTGGACGGAGAGCGACGCAAAGCGGGGGAACAGGGAACAGGAGTACCCACGAACCCCACGTATAGAGGAATGGCGTGGGCACTACAACCGCCACGCACATCTAGACACGACTAAAAACCAGACACCACAACCCAGAAGACCCCGTCAACCCGACCACACCAATCAGACAGCCCTACCTTGTATTGACAAGCCCCTCATGTACAGTCAGTCGGGCTAGCCGCAACTGCCACGTACAAACCCGCGGGGCAACAAAGTAGAGTACAACAACCTCCCTCGTCGACATTTTCACGGCTTGCAACCACGTTTTAGGGTTGTTTCTTACGGGCATCATCTAATCCTTCTCTGTCATAGTACTTACCTGCTGTTGGAGGAAGCAAGCAGGGTGATTCAGGACGCGTGATCTAATTGTTATTGTATAGTCATTGTTCATTTGAATTCTTTTCTTTTTTTCCCTCAGTTCTCGTTCTCGAGACTGACGTTAGTTCCTTTCATATAATTCGCCTCTTAACTTACCTTGAGATTAGTCGCTCTTTAGATATTTTATCACCTGCCACCGTTGCCGCACCTGTGGAAGACTCGGAGTTTCACAAGCACTTGCACATATCTATTGAGTGGCGTCGATTTCCACTGCTGCGTATCAATGGTCCCTGACTTCTGCATTCCCCAACGCGGCGTTGGCTTCCTTATGCGTTCCTAACACAACTACCTTTGACATGGTCTGGTCGACCTAGGACATGGCCGACTGCCTAAATGCATGCGGCATGCCACATTCCATTCCACTGGCCAAATACATGTGATGTAGTCATAATTTCACAGCCTGCTAAGCTTGAGGGCTTGGCTCTTGCAAATCATGCCGGCCGTCTCGTGTGTTCCGCACCCTCACGCCATCTACCAGATCCACGGAGGGGTTTTCTCATTACGTAGTATTTCGGTCCTGTTCGTCACTCTGGGCTCACCTATTAGCTGGGCTCAATCGTGGAGGATTTTGATCCGACCCGTCCGTACATTCCGTGAATACTGCCAGCCTGAGTGGTATAAGTACTCTCGTGCCGGACATCCATTCACACGTGTTCTGTGAAGCGTTTCGACCCTATATATTCGCGCTTTCCGTGGTTCCTCGCATGTCCCATCCCCATAAAGCAAGATATCTGGTCGAATGCTTAGTGTATCTCCATGAGACTAGTTTTTCTTGTCTTGAAACATTTTGAGGTCCTATCCTGCGAGACACACGGTGTGGAGGGAAATTCGGCTCCCGTACCTAGTCGACAGCATGTTCATATCTCATGCCACTATTTTGTAATCGAATTTTCATTTCGATTTCAATGGAATCGGATGATCAGAAACGTCGCAACGTCCTAAACTGCTCGTTGTACCTAAGTCCCTACACCATGCGCCGATGCGTCGTCATTTTTCTGGGAATGGAGGTCCCTTTTCTATCATTCCACCTAACGTCTGGTACTCCCAGGCAACGGGTGGAAAGTTTTGGATAGTGTGATTGCACACAATGACGGCCACAGCCTGTTGCGCAGAAATTTGCCTAGGATCGGGTTATGAAATGGTTCCCACTGCCGGTAGTCCATCACTAGGCTAGCACAGCTGCCAAATTTGTTTGTAATCACCAAAACCGGCTATATAATATCGCATCGAGTCTTTACAGATCTGGATGTCTATGTAATACTCCATATTGGCCGTGAATCCAGGAACATCGTGAGCGGGTGATGATCTGCGGATATTGACGGCAGAAAAATCATGCAACGCCCAAAAAGCGCTCAACTTTGACCGAAGGTTCTCAATCCCCGAGTGGCCATCACTCTGGAAAGTCACACCTGGTACGGAACAGAAGAGCTTTTTGTAGAATACTCAAAGAGCGTAGGACAGGACGAATTTGAAGGTTCGCGCTTGTGTCTTCAAGGTTTACTGTCACAAGCGTGGAATGAATGTTTGAAACTGAAAAGATGAGTCGCCAAGGCTGACGAACTGAAGCAAGAGATCAGAGACTTACCGGGCGAACCACAAACTCTCAGAAAGTTCTCAGTCGGGATTCTATCTCGGTGGTTCCACATTTCTTGACTGGAAGTCCAGATCAATGCATCCGCCAGTGAACGTGAACCAACCCCCCACGCGGGAAATCATCAGCCACGCGGGCCCAAGGGATCAGCATCTACAAAATAATTACCCCCGCTGTGACTGAAAAAGTCGGCTTGGGCCCACACGACAGGCGACAAACAAACGCGTTGTGGGTGATTTAGGGAAACCACGTGTTCAGCATGTTCAGCGAGGCAGGAACCTTTAGTCCGCAACGTCCCATTACAGGGAATTTTCTTTCACTCCAATTATATGAAGTCCGTCTCTCCTTTCTCTTGAACTTGAAGGAATAATATTTGAAGGTTGAATTTTTCCCGCGAGCATGCGGATGAAAGGGCTCTTTGTCTAAATGAAGCCCCGTTTCTATTCAGGCATTGCTAGAAATATTTACTTCGCATGAGGACCACTATAGGGTCCGCGTCGTGTCTCCGCTAGCATTCTAGAATAAGTTTCCCATACCTTTCACAACCGTCAGCTTGCGACACTTGGTCGTATGTACGGATGTGCACATCTAAGATCGGTATCTGGAGTGTTCATTCACTTCTGAAAATGCAAGGATGGGACTCATCCGAACCAATTAGCTGGTCAACGCCTTAGTGTTATTGGATTACACCCGTTGGTTGACGAGATACCGTACATCTTATATGGCTCGCCACACACTGTTAATTATAGAGGCCGCCTATTTTTCATCAGTCCCTCCGGACTCAGCTTGATGGGGGGTTGGGCGTAATTTTTTCTTCGTTATCATGTTTGGTTATAGGTGGGTCTTCGTGCATTCTAGTTGGTTGCCACTCCCCTGGGGCACCCCTTGAGTAAGCGGCAAGAAAGTAATAAGGAAGTCGGAAGCTTGAGGCAAATATATAATAACGATTGGAGAGGTAATGTGGAGATTGGGTTAGTAGCCTCCAGTGATAAGTCGGGTGGAAGATGCAGTTGGCTGCCTCCAAAAAGAAGAAAGAAGCGATCGGACAGAGAGCTGGGAGTGGTATCAGAAGGCGAGATAAAGCCCACCGGGAATAAAAATCATCAAGTATGTGATGAAATCACAGGATCTAAGTGTGATTAGCCCTAGTATACGTCCCGTCCCGGGCGACACAACGAAGGATGATCTCGAGATATGCTTCGTGGGCGAGAACTGGAGGGAACCCAAATGGAATTTGTGAGAACCCGCACCCCTCGGGGGCACAGGTCAAGGAAGCGAAGTGGCCCTTCTGTCATGAAGCTATACGCTTTGCAGAAGACTCCTCCCACGATGTTGTTCGGTGGAACAAACGAACGTGTCTTCCAGGAGAGGGTGAGGCCCTTGCAATGGAACTACGGATTCAATAATGACGGCCTGTAAAAAAATTCACAGAGAGCTTCGGATGCACTAGTGACGAAATCGTGTAGGGACCGAAATGCACGGATTACTTCTGGTTGCTTTTCTCCGAGACGATATTCCGGCGGCGAATAGTCATCTAGTGTCGCCTATGGTTGAGTAGGGCAGTCGCTGCAGGATACGTGGCCCGTTCGGCGGGGGTACAGCCTAGAATAATCTTCCCATGTGGAAGGGTGCTGCCGAGGGATTTAGTGGACACCCCGTCAAAATAGCACGACACAAGAAAAATAGCTTGGAAAACCTGAGCAGAGTCCAAATCTCTCTCGAAAGAGCCAGCGACTCGGGGCAGATGATTGGCGTCCAAGTTAGGGGATACGAGGCAGCCGATGTTCTTGGAAGATGGTACAACGTAGGAATGTGGTTTAGGGCCGCCTGGAAAAATGTTTGATCGCGTTGCCGGTGACAGTATTAGTAAAAGAGACAGAAAAAACCAGACAGAAAAGCTGGAACGGTATCGGAACGTTGGATAAGGCTCCCTGTCGCAGTCTGCTGAGTGGAAAAGTGGGCAGGGACTTTCCGAGCTAAAAAGTGATTAGTATCGAACTATGATCATGAAAGAAAACCCAGGAAAGGATAGAACACTGCCCACGATGTGATCCGCAACAACGTTCTATAACCACTACCCCCGTGGCGACAGGCAAGTATTGAATGGGATCGCGATGTTAGTTGATGGAACAAACGGACGCATTTTCCAGATGCGTCCGAGCTCTATGGGAGTGTTGATGCGGGAAATCGCATTGAGTACATAATATGGATCTGATACATTGCAAGGACTTTCCCGGCGTTCTCTTGTGAAAAGATTGCTTAGGGACAGGGACGTATGGATCGCTTCTGATTGTTTTTCTCCGTGATATTTTCCGGCTGCAAATGAGCATGTCGTAGTCAATATTGCGGCACCCCATGGCCGAACAGGTTTAGCGCACACGTCCTATCGAAGTGATACGATACAGGAAAAGATACTCAGCAATTCTAAATCCCTCTTAAAATGGCCAGTGATTCGGGGCCAATGATTAGCGCTCAAGCTGGTGGACACGAGGTAGCCAATATCTGTACAATCCTTGGAAAGTGGCGCAACGATGACCGGAGTGGCTGGGTTAATTTTAGGTTCGGAAAAAGTGAGACAAAATGTTTGATTGTGGGTGACAATATGCCTTTTTTGTGGCGAAGATTATTTCTCGCCAACAAAAAAAGCAGATCTGTATCAAATACAGTCCAGTAAAGACGGCTGACTCCTAAAAGAGCAGTGTCTTGACACACCTTTAAGGGTCGTCCGCTAATATCATGAGCTAATTTGACTTAACAATTTTTCCCTTAATATAACTTGAATAGGACTTTGTTGTTCACGAAGGCAGGGTCAGTCCGAATTGCATGAAGACAAAGAATGGATGGAAACCATACATACAATTTTTGGGTTCATCGCGTGAAGGATAGTCCAGACAAAGACCCAGCTTGCGGGTCCCTCGTTCTTCGTTGAGCAATCACTTGCTTGGACTGGTGGCGAAGCCCAACATAGAGACTTAACACAAATTGCCGGCACTAGTTCGTGCCTACCGTGGTTGCTCTAACGATCTGAAGAAAGCGTTCGCGACTGTCAGTAATGTTTACAAGCCGTGCGCAGCGGAAGTCCTTTCACCTTGTTTCACGCCCGGACGTACTGCCTCAGGACAGGGGCCTAGCCCATATTCTCGCTTTCCCCGTGTTGCGAGGCCCCCACTCATTCCCCCTTTCCTGGCACTCACTCACTCATCTCCCCCGTCTATCCCGCCATGCAAGCCGGAAGAGGCTGAGTTAAGTGTCCCCTCCTATCCCTTCTCTGTGAAAGGCACGCAATTCCGCTTGATGTGGGCTCTACCATGCTTTCTGGAGCGGAAACAATGTATGGCCAAGGTGCTAAAGCAGACCACCAACATGCCTCAAGGTGAGAATACGCAATAATTCACTACCGACACCATGTCGAGCCACCACAACATTGCAGATAGACCCTCGCCCAGCTGGTACCACAAGGAGAAGGTCCGCTCAAGGAATATCTCTTCATTATACAACCCATATGCGTGCCTCCCTGAAGACTTACATCGATGGGAACAATCGACAAGAGAGAAGTTGTGGACCTCTACCAGCCAACGCGAACTTAGGGCTACCCAGTTGCTCGCCCATACTAGAGGCAATCATCTGGCCCGTATGTGCTTTTCCAATGCTGGTATGTGGGCATGGCGGATGAATGTGTAAGGGACTTTTTGCTACATGGACACACACTCCGATCTGCGAACAAACTGTTGACTGACATATCGTCAATGATCACAGCAGATGTCAAACCCCTATAGTGGCATAGGGGAGCACTAGGCACGATCCAGCCACTGTGAAGAGTCCGCTCATCTGCGGTGCCACCGGTTCGACCGATGATCCATTGGCGAGAGTGGTGATTTGTGCAGATCTTGCTCGGTAGGGAGGTATGTCATCTACCCATAATAAACGTGAATGTTAACAGTACAATATCGCTAGATCGATGCCTGGGATAACCGCACCCTCAGCCGTGATAACCCTACCATGACATCCCAGAAGCATACTCACTCGTCGACGACAGTGCTCTTGAATGTCTGTGACACCGGGATCCTTCACCAGTGGGGGATCGGTTCAAGGTTGAATGCGGAGGTAGGATCTTCTAATACCGATTCTAACATCACGATATAACCCCCCTGGCATTATAAACCCCGAGGAGGCGGAGGATTCCAGCACCAACCACTATTCCCTAGGTGCCGTGTGCTCTTCATGTACACGACGCCGGATGGGTAGCCGCACTGCCACGTATATCACGAGGCCGCGGGTGCCATTGAGACAGAACCATCACAAAGTACAGCTCGCGACCACTTTTGGTGCTGACTCCTGATTTTTGGACAGCTGGTCGTCCAGTCCATCCCCTGTCATACGGTTCCTTTCCTCTTGTCGCTGCCATAGTACATTTGGAGTATTGGTACTCACTAGAGTTTCGCGAGGATACTTATACACATTCTATTGAATAACACTTATACACTCTCGTATCCTTCTCTGGCCCACAGCATTCAAGCATCCTCTTATTTGTATACAGTGCACCCCCGACGCGACGTTTGTTGCTTTGTACGTTCCCAGCTAAGCCGCCTGCAACGTACTCCAGTAGACCCAGAACACGACTTACTGCTCGAATGTATGCATTCCATCCTACTGGTCAATGCCTGCCAGGCTCGAGGCTCTTTGAGCGCCTGACTTCTGTGTGCCAGCCATCTCGTTATGTCTTCTTGATTCTTACTTCATTCGCCAGATCTGCAGAGGAAATTCTCATCGCGTACTATTTCAGTCCTGCTCGCTACTCTTGGATAGCATCTCCTCACCAGCCGCGGTCGGGAATCTCAGTGCAATTGAATGTGGAGGCGTGACCTCGGAGGTCTCGTTCTTCGACACTGCAAATCATGGCTTGCGGCTCTGATTTCTTGTAGACTCCCGGGTGTCGTCTAGTGAAGCCTCACCCCGCCACACAAACACTTACCCGCTGTCGGCGCCCATCCCCACAGCATGGCGTGCCACTTCCTCATCCTGTTGTATTACCTGGATTTTCACGTATCGGTCTCCATTTTACACCATTCATGCATTGTCACACTTACAGATAGCGTCCCGTTTGCACCGATCACCTTGCGCATTGATATCTGTATTCTCCATCCAGCCATGGTTCCGTTATGTATGTGATCGTTATTCAACTGCCTGCGACGTGCTCTGCTCGACACTGACTGCCTGAACACATGCATCGCATGCCGCTGACCAATTGCACCCAAGGCTCGAGGCTCTTGGGGAATTGACCCCAAGTTCATCGTAGTCTGCTAGCTATCTTATCATGCGTTACAGCCCCTCGCCCTGTCCATCAGATTCGTAGAAGACCTTCTCATTGTAGGACATCTAACTTCGGTGCTGCAGGATTCCAGGGTTGGGTTGGTTGAATATCTGTAGCACCAGAAACCTTACCAACGGGGATCGGCTGGAATCTTTAGAACTGGATGTGGGAGCGTGGCCTCTCTCGTCAACATTCCGGCACGGAATACGACTTGCGACCACCCTTTGGGGCTGTTTCTTGAATGGAGGTCGTGGATATCGTCTAATCCTGCTCTGTCATAGTTACCTGCCACCGCTGCCATACCTGTGAAGTACTGGGCAGAGTTTCGCGAGCACGTGTGCAAATCTATTGAGTGGCATCGATTTCCACCGCTGCATATTGATAATCCTTGACTTCTGCATTTCCCAACGCAGCGTTGGCTTCCTTGTATGTTCCCAATTCAACTACCTACGACGTGCTCTGGTCGACCTAGAACACCAGTGACTGCCTGAATGCATGCATTCCCTCCCACATGCGATGTGATCCTTTACAGCCTGCTAAGCCCGAGTTTTTTTGAGGGCTTGACTCTTGCAAATCATGCTAGTGTTCTGCACCCTCGCTCCATCTATCAGATCCATGGAGGACATTCTCATCACGTAGTATCCATCCATACATTGGTATACTCTCGTACACTGATAATGGGCCCGGATATCCATTCACACGAGTTCTATGGAGCATTTAGACCCCGTGTACTTGCGTCTTCCGTAGTTCCTCGTATGCCCCACTCCCATAAAGCAGGATAGCTTGTCGAACACCCAGTGTATCGCTAGTTTCTCTTATCACCTCAAAACTTGGGACGTGGCCTGTTGAGCTCCTATCCTATCAGACACACGCTGTGAAGGGAAATTCGGCCCCGATACCTAGTCTCCAGCATGTTCTCGTTCCAGCCATATCTCATGTCACTATTTCATTTAGATCTCAATGGAATCGCATCGCAAATGTCGCAACGTCCTAAGCTGCTCGTGTACAATAAGTCCCTACAACGCATCGTCATTTTCCTGGAAATGGAGGTGCCTTTTCCGTCATTCCACCTAATGTCTAGTACTCCCAGGGAACGGGTGGAAAGTTTTGGGATAGTGTAATGACGGAGACAGCCTGTTGCACAGAAATTTGCCTAGGGATCTGTGACGGAGGGAACCGTTCAATACCCAACCTAGATACAACTGCCAAAGTTGTTTGCGATCACCAAAAAATACCACATCGAGTCTGGATGTCTACGTAATACTCCATATTAGCCGTGAGTCAAGGGACATCTGAGCGGGTAATGATCCGCGGATATTGACGGCATGGAAGGCCCAAAAAGCGCTCAACTTTGACTGAGTAGTTATCGTTGTGAAAAGTTACACCTGGCACGAAGCAGAAGAATTCTCTGTACAATATTCAAAGAGCGTGGGGTAGGATGATTTTAGGGGTTCGTGCTTTTTGTCTTCAAGGTTTACCGTCACAAGCGGGAATGAATGTTTGGAACTGAAAACATGAGCCGTCAAGGCTAGCTGACTGAAGCAAGGGATCGGAGACTTACCGGGCGGACCACCAACATGGGAGGCTTGTTGGAAAGTATGTACGAACCCTCCGAAAATTCTCAGTCGAGATGCTATCTCGGTGGTTCCGCATTTTTTGACGGGAGTCTAGGTCAATGCATTTTCCGGTGAACATGAACCAAACCCTCGCACGGGAAATCATCGGCCACCCGGGCCAAGGGATCTACCAAAAAAAACTATCTTCGTTGTGACTGAAAAAGTCAGCCACAGGTCCACACGGCAGGCGACAAACAAGCGCGTTGTGGGCGATTTAGGGAGTCCACGTGTTCAGCGTGTTCATCGGGGAAAAAATAAATGAGAGGCGAGGCAGGGTCCCTTAGTCTGCAGTGTTTCACTATAACAAACTTTCTTTTACACTAAACTGGAAAAATAAATAAATAGGGATCAACGGCATACAAGCAATTGGGGGAGATCAAATGTGTTGATTCTGCAAAAATTCTACCACAACTGTTGTTTGCAATATCTTGTTAGTAAAGTTCCGAACGTAAGGCGAGCTGAAGCGATCATCCATGCCTCATTGGGATATAAGGGGGGCCAGGTTCTCTGCCGTTCCCCATAACAGACGCTTCCCTCCTTTCTAGGCCCGACTACAACACTGTCCCATCTCATGTTTTGTGAATCCAGCGCTGAGGCCCTGATACACCCGCTGTAGTGTGCAGGGAATCTGCAACATCATTCATGCTAGGAGCTGCTAGCGTGGTGCGGGTGTTGTACACAATGCATTCTGTTCACAAGGTGGGTGAAGTGCCAAATGCCAGATTAGATCATTCCCTTCCTGACAACTCCCGCTGTGGTGAGCGAGACGGCTGTTAGCGCACATCATCGCACCAGGAGCCGCGCCAGAAAGTTGGTGCGGTGTGGTGCGGTGTGGGTGTTGTGCACAGTCGACTTGCTCACTGCGTGGGAGCCTCGGAGATTCACTTGTCGAGGTCAAGGTGCTTAGCCAAGTTCTGAGAGTACCACAGAGCCGAGACAAGGAGTAAGCGCTGATATTCACGAGACTTGAAAGAATCGTCGTTGATTGTCAATCGACTGTCTACTTTAGTAGAGGCTGGGGTCCTACCTGAATCGACTGAGGATCCGAAATTATATAATATCTGGAGCGTCCTTGTCTATGGGGCTGAGTCCAATGCTAGGTTCCCTGTTCCATAGTGAATCAGCTGTTAAGTAGTGCCAGTGAATACTAATGTTCCGCAACTCCGCGCCTTTCCGCACCCTCCCTGTCTCCCTTCCGGGACTTATATTCGGGTTGTTATGTACCGGAGTTAGCCGAAGTTTTAGTATGCGTCGGTGCTTTGCAATTGAATGTCGAGGGCGTGACTTTCTTCCACATCATATGTGAGGTTGGTTGCAGTGTCGTGTAGTGAAATCTCACTCTGTCACTCGGATATTTACCTGCTATCGGCAGCTGTCGCTGCATGGCGTGTCCGCTTCGCTTCCTATTTGACTCGCCGCCTAGCTTTTCCCACATCGTCCTCCAGTTTACACCATTTAGGCATTATCAAACTTGTACACAGCGTTCCGTTTACACCTTTCACCCTGCACATCGAATGTCCCATCACGATATCCGGATTCTCCCACCTAAGAATTTCTCAAGCTGGAACTTCTTGAGATCCTGCCATGCACTAGCATAATTCCATTCCAGCTTCTCATGTCACTATTCCATAATCAAATCTTCATTTAGATTTCAATGGGATTGCGTTGTCTCGAACGCCTCGATGTCCTGAACTACACGTGCACATGCGCTGCATGATCCATTAAGTCGTCATTTTCCAGGAATCAAGTTGCCTTCCTCATCATGCGCCTGGTCACGCGCAGTGAATAGATCTAAAATTTTTGGACAGGATAATCATAAGGCAATGACATGCGGAAAAGAATTCCTAGGGCTCGACAGATAATTATCTATCACGAAGCCGAACCGATGCGTGTGGAATGGTTCAACGACAAGTCTACCTTCCCTCGCGGCTTGCAAAACTCAGTAGTCTGTTGCCGTAGAGTTGAGCATAGGACAAAAGAGGGGATTTTCCCCTGGAGGAGTACTGGAAGTGCGGAAATGTTTCGCACTTAACCCGAATATAGCCACCTCGAAGGCCGTCTACGATCACCAAAACCAGGTCTATAATGCCGCATCGAATCTCTACAGACCTAGATATCTACTAATACTCCATGAGCTATAGACGAAGGAGCACCACGAGAAGGCTCTGGTCCGCGAATATTGAATGCAGGACGACAGTCGCCGCAACTTGGATATAGTTCTGCTTCGCTGAAGACTGGCATGATCCTGCTTGGATCGATGAGCACACTGTCGACGAGAAAGAAGCTGTCTCTGCGGGGAGCCCCTAAATGTTCTATGACAACAATGGCAGTGGTTGATGAAATGCTCCCCCTACTCCCAGTTGTCTTCTTCTGGCATATCTAATTGTGAGCGCGGGGCGATCCGGTTGCTCTCCGCACCAGAGGCGATCATTCGGCTTCTCCAACGCTGAAAGCACGGATGAATGGAGGCCTTTTTTGCTACATGAGATGTCCGACACACTCTGAACGGCAGGTAATGACTGATGGCTGCCGTCTGAGAAAATAC